TAATATAACGTATTAACTTACTCGAACACAAATCAGTGGCACAATCAGGACTATGTATATCGGATCCATGCTCATCAAAAATATTAAGCAGGAAGAAAGTTTCGTGCACATAGGTCACCAAACAGGTGGGCCTTCTATTAAGCTTTTGAAAACTGATGAAATTCCTCTAGTGGAGTCCACAGAACCCAGTACCAGTCAAATTGGAGTGCCATCAAAATTCATAATTGCTTCCTCCAAATTGAACAGAAACAAATTCTGTTTTCGCCATGATAATTGATTGCAAGAAATCAGCAACAAATTCTGTTTTCGCCATGATAATTGATTGCAAGAAATCAGCAGGAACCACCTAAAACATAAAATTTTTGTACGTTATCCAATTCAACTGTAAATGACTGATGACATTGAGTACATAATGAAGAAGTAACATAACAAATCTGATATATTTTGACAATTTCAATTTATAACACTTACAGTGAAACATTCATAGCCATCTTCATTCACTTTAAAAATGCATCGCATGAAAAATGGAGTGAAGGGCCTGGGTAGAACAGTTTGACAACCATCCAAGCCAAAATATGTGCATGCCATAGTATCATTTCCTATATACTGAAAGAAAACACGGCTTCTCCAAGTGATACCAATTTCCCTAGCACATCGCAACAAATTTCTTCCCGACAAATTTATCTCTCCGTTATGATATTGTGCCATTAGTACCTCGTATATTCCAATAGGAGTTTCAAGTTTGATTCTTTTTGGAACGTATCCACCGAAACATTGACTCAACCGACTAGTTAGGGCCTAAACTCTAAACAAAAAAATGGCATCAAGAGACAAAATGTACAGAATAAATAAGACAAAACATTAATTGAACCAGTCCTAAACATTCCTTACAAAACCGAATACTTCGAAGTCCCATGGAACAATGTACATGAACTGGAGATGGGCATCCATGATTTAGAGATCCTGTTAAAGGCAAAAGAAATTTTAAAATTTAAATTTTCATTAAAAGTGGCTAGTAGTCAAAAGGGGTGATTTTAAAAGAAATCACCGTCATAGATCAAGCAATCAACAAAAAATAAAAACCTTCATACATCATATATTCAAACACATGCATAAATGATAAGGTATACAAAAAATCTACCTTTTTTTTCACAACGGGAACAACAAATTGGATAGAAAAGACTTGCAGAAGAAAAACACAAGGAGGAATGACCCTAGAGAATTAGTGGGCGAAGTTGGAGGAGAAAACGAAGTACAAAATAAAGATGAAAGAATGTGTAGAAAAGATTTGAGGGAAGTAATTATAATACCATTGAAATTTCTGGAATCAAAACATGCTTTAAAGGTGATATCATGTTCAGTATGAGTTGTATAGAAGATAGCAATAGAAAAATATGTCTTTGTTTTTATCTAGGAAAACATGAAGCCTGTAATTGGTTTGTTTATTTCACGAGAAAGATTTTTTCCCATCTAAGGGAATCTTGTATTCGTTTATTCTTTTCCTTACTGAAACATGCATTTTTTTTCAACTTGTGTACTCAAAAGATACTCTTCTTGGAAGTTGGAAGATGCTCACCATGTACCATATTTCACAATAAATCATGATTCAAACTAAGTAAAGGTAAAAAAACAAAAACGCGTAATATTTCTGAATGAAAGAGGTGAAAATACTTCAGAATGAAACATATATATATAGTAAACTTCCTTAATTAAAGGAAGGTTAAACTTCTCGTGGATTTCATTTAAGTGATGAGACACCCTGCAAAGGAATTTTTTCCGATGTATACCCCAATATATAATTTGAAACATGAAATCAAACCTAACATTAAATTTCCCAAACTAATAAATATGTAAATGTAAACGACATTAATTTTACTCCTTCCGTCCCATAATTATTGTCCACTTTAATTTTTTTTTTTTTGTAGTTCACATTGTACTAAAAGTGAAATCTCAAACTGGACAATTATTATGGAATAGAGGGAATATAACATATTGTGTTTAGAAAAGAGAGAGTCATACAAACTATCACCATTTTCCAATGTTGTTTTTTTTATTAATAAGTGGTGTATATATTTTGTTGACAATTACGAATCTGCAAAATCGAAAAAAGAAAAAATTCAAACTGAGTATCAACTTGGAAAACGGGAATTAGAAGGTAATATGTGTTAAACAGTGTTGGGAAATTGAGGAACAGACAGTATAGGAAAATGGGGACTAAATTGAGTAGTTAGACTTGTATATGAATGCTCATTACTTACCCTCAGCTTTAAGCGAGAGTCTAGGACTTGAACTCCTGCTTTATAGCAGAAAGACATGATCTCGCGTTTGCAGTGTGTGAACAAAAAAAAAAAATACCCCGGTTGACCACACTTCATGTTTTATATCGAACTACATTTCATTTCATGCAACATTTTAATTGTTGTCCTACTATTCGTAAAAGAAGAAAAAATAATAAACTTTTAAATGAAAAAACAGATATAATTCTTAATTAAAAGCAATTTTTTTTTTAGTACGTAACACTCATGATCACGAACATTTAGAGAAAATTTTTTGTTAACCTTCAAGACTCCTTATACACAATGATAGTTTAGATATTCATGCGTTTGTTTTATTTTACGAACTAAAAATTAGAAAGGAAAATGTAAATGTAGAAAAGAAAAGGAAAAGTGTAAATGTTAATAATAATAATGGAGTTGAATTAATTCATTATTTTAAGAGACTTAAACTTACTGTAAATTCTTCCATTGCCTATACGATACTTTAAACTACTCCCATAAGAATTAGTTCAGCAGGAAGTTTTGTTGTCAAACTTAAATTAACCAAAATTTTTATATGACGTCATTTAAATGATGAGACACCCTGCAAAGGAATTTTTGACGATGTATACCCCAATATATAAAATTTACAACACCCCTAAAATGAAATTTCCCAAAGTAACAAAAATTTAAATGTGAACGACATTAATTTTAGTCCTTCCGTCCCATAATTATTGTCCACTTTGACTTTTCATTTGTAGTTCAAATTATACTAAAACTGAAATCTGAAACTGGACAATTATTTTGGAATAGAGGGAGTATAATATATACATTTTAGAAGATAGAAAGTCATACAAACTATCACCATTTTCCAATATCGTAGTTTTTTTTAATATGTGGTGTATATATTTTTTGGACAATTACGAATCTGCAAAATCGGAAAAACAAAAAATTCAAACTGAGTTTCAACTTGGAAAATAGAAAATAGAAGGTATTATGCATTAAACAGTGTTGGGAAATGGAGGAACAGACAGTATAGGAAAATGGGGACGAAATTGAGTAGTTACCGCATCTTGCATGACACCTCCATCTAGATGAAAAAACAAAACATAATCATGACGAAATGCCGTAGGATACCCAATTAATGTTAAACTGAATAACTCCACTTTATTTCCTTAAAACATATATGAAACATTGGTTAAATGATTGAATATATGACTGAATTCGTCCTTCATTTAAGACTTGTATATGAATGCCCATTGTTTAGCCTCAGCTTGAGGCACGAGTCCAGGACTTGGACTCCCGCTTTATAGAAGAAAGACATGATATCGCGTTTGCAATGCGCAAACCAAAAAAAAAAGCCCCCCGCTTCACCACACTTCCTCAGTTTGATTTTCGAACTACATTTCATTTCATGCAACCTTTTTGATTATTGTCCTACTATTCGTAAAAGAAGAAAAAATAATAAACTTTTAAATAAAAAAACATATATAATTCTTAATTAAAACTATTTTTTTTTAATCTACATAATACACACGATGAAGAAAATTTAGAGAAAAATATTTTTTAACCTTCAAAATCCTGATACACAATGATAGTTTAGATACTCATGCGTGCATTTTATTTTATGAACTAAAATTTAGAAGGGAAAATGTAAATGTAGAAAAGAAAAGAAAAAATGTAAATGTTAAGAATAATGATCAAGTTGAATTAATTACTTATTTTAAGAGACTTTAAGTTACTATAAATTCTTCTATTGCCTATAAGATAATTTAAACTACTCCCATAAGAATTGGTTCAGCATGAAGTTTTTTTTTGTAAAAATTAAATTAACCAAAATTTATTTAAAATCGACAATGTGACAAGACATATGAACCGGAATTCCTATTATGTGAATAAAATAAAATTTGGTGAAAGAGATAGATCATGAAATTTGACACCGAAAAACAAGGAAAATCAACTTATTATAAACGAAAATTTACAACAAAAAATCTAGATGGATAAACTTAATATGAATAATATGTGGAGAAAAGAAATTTAACTTCGTTGGATATAGACTCGTGGATTTATAGTTATCAGTCCCAAGTAAATAATAATGAAGAGGGTTAATTTTTTGTAACCTTCTTTCAGTTTCGTTGTTATCAAAAGTCTATATTTTAGAACTCACATTAGGCACCTAAACACGTTTGACCCGTCACTGCAAATTACATGCATTATGGCCTTTTGCATATGTGAATTTAAAGAACGGGAACGTACGAGTTATTTTCAAACACACCACGTCAAGTAAGTATTGCATGAAGTTTTGGAATTCAGTCATGGAGTGGATATATTATTACAATTAAATGTATAGTAAAGTGAATCAATATTCTTCTATTCACCTAATGGTAAGTATGCCTGGTATCTACCTTAAACCTTATAACTGTTAATATTAGAGTAAGAAAGTATCATTCAACTTAGACTTTCGATTTATGATGATTTGATTGCTCACTTGACTTCATCTTTGGAGTTGGGTTTTTACATTCACTATGATTAATAAATAAAAATGTAACTGCCAAATAAGAATGATATGAAAATGAACACATTAGAATAACATAAACAAACTACAACATTACATATAACCAAAGTAAAACATGGCGGCATAAAACTGACAAAAGATTAGGCTAATACATAGTCGTTCTGCCTATGATACACGACTAATTATAGCAAAAGCATTTCAAAATATTAGCCTAACGTTGCACCCATTATTCAAATCCTCACTAAACTACACCAGAAGAAACCAGCGGCTACATGGTCCATTGCTTGTATCATTCTTGGCTTCACGTGCAAAGTAAACCTAGATTTGACAGGATTGTAAATGTAAAACTGATACCGATCAGGACAAGCAACAACAAAGTCTCCTTCGTCTGATGACTTTGGACAAAGAAATACAGGACGCTTCCAATGACGCATAAATGGCCCGACCATTAATCCAGGTACTGTCGGAGGAGTGAAATCTAGCATGACATTATGTAACTTACGCCAATGATACCCCAGGTTTTCCTCACCATCATTTCTCAATTCCCACACTTGAAGCAGGGCAGTCAAACTTATAAATTCTTCATCAACTATGCACAGTTTGGCCATCAAATTCAAAAGCTTGGTGCTATTATGGAAACCTAAAGGATACATCTTCCAATGTTCATCATTGGGGGACTGGATAATGTTGAATGTTTGGCTTGAACAACTGAAGGCTATAAGGAGTTCCCTCCTGTTGATTTGATTAACTGGCCAATGGACGAGTTTGTTGATGCACCAATACACCGTGTCACCAACAAAAAGGCCTTCTAGCATAACAACATGAGGACATAAGGAATAGATGACTTTCCAGGACCCATAAACGACACCATTGAGGGATTCATATGGTATCCAAGACAAATACTTAGCATACATTCTTCCATTTGGCAACTGCCTTAAAGCAACAATGCAGTATATGGCCATTGAATCGATGTAATCAAAAGTGACAGTCCAATAATGCTCCAACAATGAAGGATGAAATGGTGCAGGAATGATGCGTTGTTGACCGATCTGAGGATTCAAAATGACGAGTTGGGATTGCAACCTCATGCAGACCAATTGGCAGGTAATTGGAAGAATTTCCTGCACAAACCAAGGGTGTAGAGAAAGAAGATTGGACTTACAACACATACGAAAAGTGTTATCATCTGCGTTCACAACTACAAAGTTCATTTTTTGGGGAAATGGAGAGGTGTATAAGTTTTTTTGGCTTATAAATAGCAAGGACGCAGGACCATTTGAAACGGCCACCTTGCAAAAACGAACACAGAAATCAATGTATGACCATATAGCTCTCCAAGACCTCTGAACGCAACGTGCTCTTCCAACAGTTGGAAGATCCACCCTCATCATAATCTCTTCCACGAGTTCTGTTGGAAGGTTAGTCAGGAAATCAACACACTGATGGCCATGACTCGGGTTTTCCATTTCACCAAAATACAATGATCGGAAAATGAAGATGAATGAATCAATGATGGAAATGGTAGATGTGAGTCTGACCACAAAAGAGAGAAGACATAGGATAGTTAAACCTTACAAATTAGTTCAAAAAAAGATATGGTTTACTCTGATATCGTAAAGGGGTCAATTAAATCGTGTGCTATTTATAACCTATCCGAGAATAAGAATATGGAAGGCTAACATGTCCAAACTTAGTGGGGATGATTGATGCCACATTACATTTTTTGGAAGTATGTACATGCAAAAATTCCATCGGCATCTAAGGAATATTTAATTCTCCCGCCCTTGGGTATGTTGTCCAAAAGAGATATATCAGCCATGGTAGGCAACTGACTAATAGAGACATAGGTGGTAGGTTATAATGGCCTTTTTAGGAGCCTACATGCATGAAAACAGGATTAAAATACCATCTAAAATGTAGTCCGAGACATGCAAATGAGAAGAATGTAGAATCATGATTCCAAAGCGATGGAACCAAGGCAGTTTTCAGCTGCATGCAAACATAAGGTAATCCCAATTATATAATTGTGGCCGGCGTATGTAAAACAACTTTCAAAATTTAACTACACCATAACTGAAGCCATCTTCAATGAGCATAAATTCTGTTCAGCATAAAAAAAACATACAATATAGTTTGTTTTTTTTTTTTGTCAAAAATGTATCTGTGGATTTAATGGTTACAGTAATGGTAGTTTTGATGGTGAAGCAACCTCTGTTATACATAGTCTACACCGTGAATTTTTTTAATGGAATAAAACGCAAGTTTTACACAATCATCACTTCTCCCATTATAAACTGGTAACAAAAACTGGCCACTTCATCATTCTTACACAATCAATGATCACTTGCATTGAAAAAAGACCTGTTTTCCAGACAGGTAATTAAGTGATGAGTCGCCAAATATCAGATGGGATGATGTGTTGCACGATAACCATCAAAGGTTGTATACCTTCCCAATGTTGATGTATATTTTTTCATGCATCAGAGATACTCAAAAGATATTGGGGGATCACTGCGTGCAATATGATCACATTTTGATTCGTTTTCAAGTGATATTAATATGAAAATCAATGATATTAACAAATTAAGAACAGACTGGTAAATGTCCACTTCCATGGAAGTTTTGGTACACACCACTGTATAGTTAAGGGGAAGAATCAAAGTTGGTATTTGTTACAATATTTTACATGATAATGATTAAACGGAAGTGAAAGATACATCAAATTAGTACAAATTTTTCATTTTTTTGTTTGTCTTCGTTTCTTGAGGAGAAAATTGAATATCATGAGTCGTTAGAATTTTACGTAAAAAAAAAAATAGAATTGAAGTAAGTGCTAATCCAATTACATTAAGGCACAGATCAATTAAGAATATGCCATACATATCGGTCGCCAGTGGTACATCCATTTGATGGTTTTGCTATATAAAGTGCCGTATTATAAACTTGGGGGAAAAAAATAAATGAAATTCCTTTGTTTACAAAGTTCAATTCCTTTTCGAATGGGAAATATCCATACTGAATAAGACCTTACTGCTAGTAAAAAAAATGATGATTTGACTCGTTTATATTAGGAGACCAAATTATCCGCCTTTATCAACAACTGCGCTCAGCCTTTTCCTGCAGCATCACTTGTACCAATTACAAATAACATTTCAACTTTTATGATTTTTGCTATAAATAAGATTAGGCCAAATGCCATACAAAACAGGAGTTATGTCGATTCCAATGTTGTTAAACACGGACCGGAATGTCACGTTCGAACCGGTTCAACCGCATACCGGGAACCATTCTGGTCCGATCTATGGGCAAAACCGTTCACGTAGCAAATCGCTCAAACTTGGTCTAACCCGCGGAACGACAGGGAACCGGACGCAACCGGTTGGCCCGGCTTTAGTATTTTTCAAATTATTTTAACTTTTACATTTTTCCATGTAGCCCCTTTTACTTATTTTTCTTCCAACATTGCCTGCTAATTTCAGTTTTACGATTCTCTGATACACAAATTTTGATCGTATATCAATAATTATCAAAGTTGAGAAACATGATTTATGAATAACATAACAATGAATTAGTTCAAATGGAAATTAAAATTATAAACATATTTATGTCAATGAATTTATTATCTTATCTTACCTTTAATTCTAATTGTTTATGTACATTTAATATTAAAAATTATAACTTCACGCTAATAACTCTAAAATTTTAGATACGTATATAGTTTAGATTAAAACTTATATATGACATCATACCAGTCTTATCCGGTATTTTGTCACGGGCTAACGAGGTTGTTAAACAGAAAGGAACGTCAACGTTTGGAGCGGTTCAACCGAGTACCTGGCACATTTCCGGTCCGATCTATGCTCAAACTTGGACAGGTAGCAAACTGGTCAAACTTGATCAAACACATAGTACTACCGGGAACCAGACTCAACCGGTTGTCCCGGCTTTTGTCTTTTGCACTCTTATTAACGTTTTCCCTTTTCCATTGTAGCCCCTTTAGTTTATTTTCTTCATACATTGACTCCTAATTTGAGTTTTATGGATGATTAAACCAAAACACTGGGTGTCCTACTATCAATTCACGGTTTATAATAATACTTTTATTCTTGAAAACAATGAGCGAATCATTATTTTCTGTTAAGATGGAACTCAAGTTAAATACATAATGCTGTATTTATAAATTTGTTTTTTGGGGAAATACTGTTAGGAGGACTTGCCTTTTTTTCGGACAAAAATTCTTGGGTGATATCAAAATTCATCATTCCTTATTATATTATACAATTCGTCTGCATTAATTTTATACTTTCTCAAAAAAGGTGGATTGTTAATTAAACCATTGAAACACACAAAATATTTTGTAACAGTCTGGACCTGGTCATTTAGTGTTGAATTATTTTAGGTTAATAGCATGACAATAATGTTGTCGAAACACATGAAATTGTAAATCTTATTCCCCAATTTTGATGCAGCATTCTTCTCAATTAGCCCAATACCTCGCCTTCTCCATCATAACAACATCAATAATGATGTAAACCAGTTATTCCTATTACTTGTAGTAGTTCAAAATACATATAATCATTCAACGTCTCCTATGCCAAAATATTTTGTTAAACGGAAGCCAATATCATCATATCCAGTAGGCCTTGCAAATCCCCATATTCATCTTCACAAAACACATTTCTCAATTTGCTCTTCCTTTGTGAATACTATTTTATCTTAATACACATTCCAATTATCAAAAAAGACATGAGCAATGATGATTTAGAAGCAACAATCAATTCCATGAGTTTTAATGTATTATCATATAAATCCTTGAAAATCACCAACAGAAACAGGTGCACAAATAAAAAAACTCATACATTTATTTAAATTGGCACTAACCGGGACAGAAACAGGGTCAAAAGAAATAAATAAACGAAACACTAATCCGATCTAATCTTGTGCCACCGTCAACCACTATATGCGCCCAGAAATTTGTCAATGTATTCAACTTGTGCCTCTAAGTTGTCGACACGGGTGGTCTCAACATCACGAGCCTTAATGAATTTGGAGTAATTTTCTTCTATGGTCTTCACTCGTTCATCCAGTGCCATCAAACGTGCCATCACTTCTTGTTCCACCTGTTGAAGACGTCTCATAATCTCTTTGAACATTTGATCCATTATGAGTTTAAACCAGAAGTCAAAAAAAAAAATCCACAAAACTTGCTTATGAGATTCGAAGAAAAGGAAAGAACAATATATATAGGCACAAGTCTATGTCTTCTTCATTGAGTCATGTAATTAATAAATGTCAAATTCCTTGAATCACGTAATTCAAGGTGGAAACTGAAGAAACCTCCCTCTATACATTTCTTCATAATAGGTAAAGATTTCTTAAACTTCCCGTTCATAACTCCCAAATTTTTTTGTCCGACCTACCATATCTTCAACCCATGTAATAAATTAGTCAGGAATATAAATGGTAAAGAATAATATTTTTAATTAGAATTCAGGATTTAAATGGTTGCTTATATGTTACACAATTATATAAAAGAAATCATGAAAATAAAAGGTGTGAAGGTATCATACTTAATTTGTTAATCGTATATTTCAATTGACGTGAAGATTAATTCGTTTATAGAGGCTGGCTGAAATGTCCAGCCAATTAAAACACAGGACCAACACCTTCAATAAAGTACTACTTTTAACTTCAAAAAAAAAAAAACAAAAACAACCACATTTATCAAACGTCCACAAACACACACACTAATGATACAACCAGTCAACGGAAAATACATAAACTACATAAATAAAAGACCAAGAACTGATGATACAAACCTAAACCCAAAATACATAATAAACTACATGCTAGTCTAAAGACTATGCTAGTCTAAAATTTTTCAAGCTTCACTTCAATCTTTGCTTTAGTCGAAGAAGGCTGAAGAGTTATATCGCCCTCATCAAATTGCAGTGTCCTTTTCGGAGGGCTAGTTGCAGTGGACATCAATTGGACATTCTGTCCATCAACTTCTCCAGTGCAGGAATCTATTGAATCCTGAAAACATAATATATTATGAACTGATGTGTAAAACATGTCATACAAAAACAACAATTACACATCTGGATAGATATATGATAGAGTGCAGAAAATACAACTATTGAAATATAATTGAAATTTTATCTTCCCAGCCAAGCACTTAGGTGTTATATTTCTTTTCTCTGTAGTAGAACTATCAAGATCAGCGTCAACATCCTGGCCAACAAAATATTCAGACTTTGAAGAACTTCCTATTCATTTCAACTAAATTCTACCATCAACCAAATATATTCTTCAATCCGTATCATAATGTATGCGTTAATACACAAACCACGAACTTGATTTACTGACGAGCAACTCTCAAAAGTATTGATTATTGACATTTCACTACTCATCCGCAACACAGTGTACACTGGCCAATTATTGTCGATATTTTATTCAGACACCTCAATTTTGAATATGAACTTTTTACCAACCAATCTCTCCAACTCCTTTGGCACCTTAGGTCTCTCATCTTCACTTTCAATTTGGTAATGCACCAAAATAGCGTGTTAGAGACGTAGTCAAAGAGCATTTTGCAAGTTACAATTTAATAAAGTTAGAATGTCAATGCCGATGATAAATACAAAGTAAAAACGCATACCACAAGTTTGATTGCCAGTTAATCTGTATTATTTTTCGAATTTACCTTCAACATGTCTTCCCTGACATGTAAAGCAGTCTTTCGGATACATTTGTAAACGTCCTTATCAAACAATAGGAAAGATGTACTTCCACTATCATCAAGCACCCTTACCTGAACCCTGAATCTGCAATGAAAAAAAAATATTATAACAAACAAAAAAATATATTTTCTGAAGAGTACACTATTAACTCATTTCAATAACAACCTCGGTACCACAGCTGAAACATTATTTTGACACTTGTTGCAATAGTAGTATGATTGAAGAGGAGCACCACCACCATCCAACCCACCCACCTCCACAGTTGGATTAACTTTCTTATTGCATTTCTTACATGCAATATAAAACCAACCATACTCGGCTTCAATGGAAACAATTGAAGCAACCACGACGCCACACAACTCTGGAACATTACGAATTGCGTCAGCAGCTTTATACACAATACAAAGCCAAAATAATATTATCAACTTTCACCTCATCTACTTCCTGCAGATCATCAATTCGTTTCTTCGGGTTAAGTGTAAGAAAATCATCCGGTTCAGAAATGGACGATGGTGTAGAAAGATAAGATACAGCACGCTTCGGAACAACATGAATTGCATTATTGGTCCCATAAGCATTCACCATCCTGACATATTCAATCAGTTTTATGATTCCATGATAAAATTTATGCATCATTATATCAAAATATCAAACAAATACCAATGATTACCTGGACTTATATTCCACAATTTCATCAATTTATGTATCAATGAAAAGTCGGGTAGAGAAGAGAGAATTCGTAACAGTATTGGTTCCTGTTCAAATTGCCACAATATAAACTCATTAATGCATCTATTCATTCAGGCCATAAATTATACTTTTGAAATACAAAACAACCAAAGGCGGCAACAAACCTCTCCATGGATGTATTCTGGCAAATTGTACGATCATGATGACACAACCACCCGGGCGTCCTACAAAGTAATCTGTCATGTTCTGCGCGTAGTCATCCCACAATGTCACCGTAATTTTAACCTCCCTATGCACCAAAAAAAAAATGGTACAGAAACAATTACAATCACTGTGAAATTAAATGCAATTTCAACTACATATTTTAATAAAAAAATTCACTTACTCGTAATCCTGCATTTCTAATGTCAACCGACGTGATGGCTTTCCATTCCTGTCACCAGTAATCAAATCGCCAACAACAACAACTTTCCCAATAATATCTGTCGTACACCATTGTAAAGCTTCAAAATCATATTCAATAACACATAAAAAACAACAACTTAAAAATGACAATGATGGACAGAATAACTTCACCTATTGTACATGATTCATCAAGTTTGCCATCCAATAGATCAAGAAAGACACGAATTCAAATCCGTAAGGACTAACACCAATATCGATGCAATGGCGTACTTGTGTTGTCCTCAAGAAGTTTATTTTGTACGGATTTGTGGTTGTTCTAAAATTACCACTATTAGCAGCGACTCCAAAATGGGATATAGCTTTAAAAGATCCTTCAGTGATGACCCCCAGGAAGGTACCAATCAATGACTTCTTAAGGGTTGCATGTATCTTGTTTCCCTTAAAAAAAATAAAAAAATTTGAATGTTAAGAAGAAAAAACCAGGCACAAATCATTTATAAGTAACCATGGCTGAGTCAAACCAAATGATCCATTAAGACCTTCTCTATGCTCCCGTTGCCATTAGGATTTGAGAAAAGAGGCGGCTTCCAAACACGAATTAACCTAACTCTTATCTTCCAACTATCCTGCAGAGGAGTTATTAAATCGACGGTACTGTAATCTTCATCCATATTCACAGAAAATTGTTTCTGTTTGGAAGAATATAGTAAGTTAACACTCTGTCTAAATGCAATCTTTTCGACTCCTTTTATAGATGGTTACACACTGCACCATATGTTAGGCCTCATAAATCCTTGCGCTAAACGTATTTAAATTTTCATAGACACAATGATGACTGGTTAGGCAAGCCACTCCATGACGCATGCCATGGAACCAACAACCATTGGTTAAAGCAAGGGCGATTGAACGGTGGTACATTTTTCGGTGAGCCATGCAAACCACTTTACCGTTTTACTACTTTACATTGAGAATTAAGCATACCGAAATTAGCCACCATTTTCATACATTGTTTAAGATCTAACACCTAATTAAAATTATGTTTTTTCAACTCGAACAATATGTATATTATACTATAATATTATATTTATATAATTTAAACAACAATGATTTCAACATTTCAATTAATCTTCAAATTGTCATATTTTTATTCATATGTATATCATAATACCGTAATAGGTGTTCCACTTCTTTTAATTACCACTATAAATTTTCAGCTATTTGAAATTATTTCCAGAGAAGAAATGGATCATCAGGAATGAAACATATAAAAACAGTGGTCCCGGTACAACCAAAAAAAAGGTTTGTTTGGAGGGTGTATCAAAACCAGAGCCCACGTTCTTAAAGTATGATGTTCTAATGGGCGGGAGAACCACATTCTTAATTTTTACAGTATTTAGGGGGGAAATGAAAAATAAAAAATTAATCCAAAAAAGCCACAAAATTACACATTAGCTGAAGGAACTTTGGGTGGGAAATGAATTCACCACAACTTGACACGTGTCCTAGAAGAGGAAAATTGGGGGGGAATACTTGCCTCAAGGGCTGCTGTTTTAGTATATAGATAGATATCAAGGACTATCATCAAACTATGTTGGGCTTCAAGTAGGCGGGTTGGATCACATATTTTTTACCTTAATACAAACTGTTTAATTAGATATTGAGATTTTTTACACTTACCCGACCTTTTTTTAATCATGTTAAAGTTTGATCCATTTAACCTGTATATAATTTCTTTTGAAGAAAATGAACAATGAAAAATTAAAATTAAGAATCAATGGAAGTGTCATTTATTGTTTATTATGCATGAATAAAAATAGTACCCGTTGTAAAAATGTATTATGTTTTATTGTTTATGCATTAATAAAAATAGTATCCATTGTAATATCTATATGTGTGTCCTTCCCGTCCATCGGACGGGTCTAACACCTAGTACGTATTTAATTTGAAATAGAGTAATGGCACGTTAGAGTTTCTCCTCAAAGAGTTTAGCGAAAGTTCTCGCATCATAGTTATTAAATATGAAATATTTATTGTGTTAAACAGAAATAAACTCTTACACTTCACAGATAAAAATCTCGTTAAATTCTTTAAACATATAAATAAACTCTCACACTTTACGAATAAAAATCTCGTTAAATTCTTTGAAATCTTTCCTTAAATGTTTCTTATGAAAATTTCTTTAAGATTAAGTAAGCAGTTGTAAGATTGATGAATTCATAGGAAATTCCTTTACGCTTATATATTCAACTGCAGATTTCCTTCATGGTTGTTCATTTTTTTAATTATTTCGGGTAAAGGTTGTTCCATCTCCAATACTTTTTTTTTTACATACTGCGCACGATGTCCTAAGTGTATCGCACTCAGACTAATCCGCACCGAGCCGAGTTGGTCTCCTTTTGAAAAGAAAGCTCTCCCAATATTGTTCTTTCCATTCACGAGACTCGAACCCAAAACCTCACTTAAAGGATCCAAATCACCTTACTACTTTGACCAACCTAGTGTTGGTCATCTCCAACACTACATGTGGAAGTTGGAACGAGACTAGTATTAGCTAGCAAACACATCTATAATCAATTAATGCCACAATTAACATATTGTGGGTTCCCAATTTTATTGAAATTTAAAATAGTATGGCCAGCAGTTAAATACTCTGGTAGGTTGAAATATTGAGCACAACTAACAGAACACTGAATTAGTTCTCCTCCCTCTCCTGAAAATTGATCTATTTTGTGCACCATTACTTTAGCAGTTAGCTTCTTGTTTGATAAAGTGATCTTTATACTAAATACAGGTAGCTTTTCAAAATAATATTAATAATAATAATAATAATAATAATTTTCTGGGATGATTAAGAAAACTGTATACTGCAGTATATGTTACTCAACTAGATGATATATATGTATGTTTTATTAAAAAAAATATAAAATCATTTACTACGCTATTGTGCTAGTAAACCATAAAATTGCGTCTATTTTTTCTTTAATTTGTGCCTTAAAAATAATGTGGATCTGCGAGTATATTTTTTTGAGATGTACTACAGAGCAATACTAGTTACATACCTTCAATCGATTTCATTTTGGGTTAATATCTAAAACACCCACGAGCTTCAACGGGTTATCTAAAACACCCTCAACTTTTGAAGATATATCCCAAACACCCCTTGACTACCTAATATTTTGTAAGTCAAATACCCCTAACCCTTTAGAAAATGGAACAAAGGAAATCTCCAGGCACTTCCATCGGCTTCCTCCTCAACATCGTATATCTATCTATGTTTTCCTCATAACCCATTCCTACCTCTCTTCGCCACAGTCACCATTGTATCTGTATTCCAATTCATGGTGTTGCTTTGTCAAAATAGTTTTTTTTTTTCTTTATAAATGGTTGATAATATCATTGATAGAGAAGTTAACTGAAGAAGTGCAGGTGATTTATTGTACCACAGGCTAATGAACCAATTATTGTAGGAAATTTAGAATCCATGGATTATCTTATATCACTCAGAATCTCAACTTATATGTTAAAATGAGTTTCCTAAATGCTTACTGGCAAGCCCCAAAGGAGTTCTTCAGAGAAGAAACTTGGTTGGAACCTAAAAAAAGATATAGAAGAATGATAGGTCATACTCATACGAGCATCTTGTTGTATCAAATGCTCTGGTCTCTTTTAATGGAGGACAAAAATGTCTTCGCAGATTTCTTTTTTTTTTTTTTTTTTGCTGATGTCATACTCATGCATATCTTTTCGGCAGAAAGGATTTATTTGATAGCTGACCTATCTGTCAAAGGGTGTCTTTGATATTCTTTTAAACGGTGAGGATGTTTTAGATATTGGATTGAAACTCGGGGGTGTATTTGATATTAACCTTTTCATTTTTTACGTTGAGATTTCAATCCACTATAATTTTTTTTTTTTTATCAAATCAATAACTATAAATTTTCTTTTTAAGTTTCACAAGAAAATCAATTATTGGCCACATGCCCTATTTGCGTTCTACGGGTCTAAATATAACTAGGAATATATGTCAATATTATACCGATCACACGTCGTTCTATTATGACCCACAAAAAACATCACATTTGAGTTTCCATTTCTTTGTTGAAAGAAAATTCAAGTACTAATTGCGAACCCAAAACAAATAAAATTGTTTAATCTGAATGGGAAAAGATGAAGAGATCTCAAAAAAAAAAAAAAATCTTGAAGAAGAAAACGTTGGAGTTTGGAAAAATAAAATATAATCAGAAGAGAGAGTGATAAAGTTGAAGATCGCTAATCAGGAAGTTGAGAAGATCAAAATGAAGATAAATACAAGAACATGAATGAATATAGTGGTTGGACTGTTTCATGTACCGAAACCGAGAACAGCTAAGGTTTTATTTACGGCACGAATTCTAATTCAACAAGGGGAGCTGTATTCTTTATGTTCTTCTTTTCCCTTATTTTTGGTTTTTTTTTTTTTTTTTTTGAAGTAAACTTTAATACTAGTATACCAATTCAAGCTTCAATTCTACTAATTAGTATAGTATCAGTTAATTAAAAATGGTAAAAGTTCAATTATGTGCGCCAGCATAGGGATTAGAAATGAACGGATATATACATGAGATGGAACTAATTACAACTACTATTACTACTCAATTAATTCTAAGGATATTAAAAATCAAGTCAAAATATATTTCCTTTTCATAGAACGAGGCATATTTAATTTTATCATTTTGTTTCCAATTTTGCTTTGAAGAATACAGCTTTATAAAACGCTTTAATTGTTGCATCATTCGGCGGGCGAAACAACCTACAAATTCTACCAAACTCAAGTCTCTTGAATTTGTACCATAAATATTTCTCTAGTTTTCTCTTCTTTCCAACCATGACAAAATCACTTGAAATCTCCAAAAATGATCCGCCTCCGATTGAACCCGAAAAAGAAGTAGAACCTGAGGAAGAAGATGAAGAGACATCCGAATCTGGACCAGAAGATGCCGTGACCCGCAAGATGAAGTTGTCGTCGAAAGACAAGGTTTCCGGATCCGAGAATTCTACCCCTGCGAATGCTGTTTCTGGGGTAAGTTATTGTAATTTCGGATTTTTTTTTGAAGAGTTTAGAAAATGTGACAGAACAACCATTTAAGTCGAAAGCCTTCATAAAGCATTAATTTGGTTTCTCTATTTGTTTAATTTGTAAATGAAATGTGCTAAATCGGTTTTTGGTTCAACAATCACGTTGTCATGTAAGTTGGGTTTAACTAGTTTTGCTATTTTTTAGATATGTCTCTGAGTTTTTTTATTCATTACTTGGATATTACAAGCATATTTATTTGATTGCATGTTGTTTTTTTTTTTTTTTTTTTTTTGGTTCCATGATAGTAAACGCCCAACAAAGGGAAAGAGAAGAAAGAAAATGAATAAAATCTTTTTGACAATATGAAGAGAAAAAGGAACTAATGATAGTGGTCTTTATTGAAGCATATGAGTGTCTTTTTATATTCCAGTGCTTTTTCACTAGGGTTTCCTTATTCTTATCAAGTAGCTAAAGGTTTTTTCTTTTTTTTCGAATAGCTAAAGAGTAGTTACCATTCCATGACAATAGTTTTTGCCCGATTCACTGGCCAAATCGGCTCTAGGACTTAGTGTAGAAGAAGGACTCTTGTTTTGTGATAGAGAGTCCTTATTAGTATTAGCATATTAATGCAAGACGATGCTAGAAGCATGTTGGATGTAAATTAGTCGCTCCTTGAAGTATTTAGTTCACAAAGAAAAAAAAAAGCTAAAGATTATGGGCTGTGAGAGTTGTTTCCATGATTACATCATTGTCTAGCTTGGAGTTTCTGATCAATCCATGTATTTTGATTGACTGTTTAAATCTCTTATGACTCTGAACTTCGATTTCCTGAACTTTTAAAATTTTCTTTTCTGGTTGCATTTTTTTTTTTTTCAGAACATTCATAGCCTATCTAATGAACTAAATCCGAATCCGGACCAGCATGTCGTAAAGCTGCCTACTGCTTCAAAACCGGATTCCAGCTTTACTTCTCCAGTGCTGAGCACTAATGCAGGTGCAGGTGCCAATGCTAAGAGAGGAGCTGCAGAGCCCAAATCTTCAACACATTCAAAGAAAGCGAAGACAAAGACTGCTAAGAAAATTGCTAATGTCGTTGAGGACAAGAAACTTTTTGAAAGAATATTTAGCGAGGATGATGAGATCCTTATATTGGAGGGTATTGCCGATTTTTCTGCCAAGGCAAAGGCGGATCCTCTCGACAAAATCACCGAATTTCATGATTACATTAATAAAAAGATTGGTGGTGATAAGACCAAGTCTCAACTATTGGATAAAATGAAGAGACTCAAAAAGAGGTATGAAAATATTGCAGCGAAGGCCCAAAAGCTGCTGAAAAAAGGTAAACAAAGGACCTTCGCGGATCGCCACACTCAAAATGTTTACGACCTCTCCAAGAAGATATGGGGCAGAGACGTAACTGGAGATGAGGAGGTGAAAAGGAGTGGAAATCGCAGAGTGTCGGTTGAGTTTGAGGAATTGAGGAAAGGAAAAAGCTCAGGAAATGAGAAAGAGAGGATTCTTAGTTTTGTTCCTAATGATGTTACAGTGATGGAGAATTGGTTTTTGCATGAAGGTACCCAACTAATGGAGGAGGACGACAAAGAAACAATGGAGAAAAAGTGGAAAGAGTTTAAATTGGAGGAGTGCGAACTTTGGATGAAGAAGCAAAAGTTAATGATTGAACACATGGAGAAGGTTAAGGAGGGTATAAAATCACTTGGGAATTGAGGTTCTTTCTTGTTTGGAAGATCAATTAGTAACTAAGTAGAGAAGATGAAGCAACTTAGTTCCGGTAATAAGTTTTAATTTGGATTTCATGCTTTCAGTTTATCTGCCATGGGCTTTAAGACTTTTGCAAACATGGATGATTTATTTCTTATATGTACCTTGGTTTGGCGCTTTTATATCCTTATTATCATTCAAGCTATTTTAACTTGGAATGGTGATTGACAAGGAGTGTGCTAATAATGCTTTGCTGTAACTTGGTGTGTGTTTAATTCCTGTTTTCTAAGTGGTCTGTTGTTCACCTTATGGAATACATTGTTGTTCACATACGGTTCATGAGTTCACTTTTATGTTGACCTCATTGTTAGTCAGTATACAATGACCATTAAAGCTTTAATATGCATAATTTCCTAGATATAAATTTCCAGTCCTTCATGTGCTTACTTTATGCAACGTATTGTAGACTCTATAATTCTAGTGTCCGTTTTTATTTGATCAATCTCAGTAGGGTTATAAACGAACAGAGTGAAAAACTCAAATACTCCTACTGCGAATGAAGATTTGCATTGAACTTGTAATCTCGAACCATTAAAGCACATGAATTATGCTGGGGAATGAAGATTTGCAGCAGTTTCTTAGACTTTTCAGAATGGGAGGTCATGCCGGCGTCAATATGCCTGAATCCTGATGATGCATACCATACGTTATCCAAAATCACAAATCCATAGCCATCTCGAGATTTCAATGGAAAGCCGTTGTTGGTTTGCTGGAAATTAAGGCTACCATTAGATGGGGCTTTTTTCATTGGGACGAAAGTAGCTGAGAGGTAGAGACAAATTATTAGAGTGGAAGATGAATGGTAAGATCCGTTTGATCATCAGCATTCCTATGCAGGAGTGGATTATGTCATCTCAGGAATCTCGAAAGAGCGTATTCATGTTCTGTAACAGACGTGAATTTTATGTACGTTTCTCTTATGCAAGAAAAAGTTCTTAGTATTTGACTCAGATTGTTGCCGAGTTCAGTTTGTAAGAGCTACGGTTTTACAAGCACCTGATGCTCGTTGTCTTTCATTTTTTTTTTTGCCCTTCCTGACTTTTGGAAGCTTTTGATTTGTGTTCTCATTCAGATATTAACAAGCAGTTCTTCTGTACAAAGATGTAGCAGATCATCTTAGGCAGCAATATTACGTCGCTTCTCTCCTTGGCCTTATTGTATTAATGCCAACTGCCTTACTCTAATTCAAGATATATGTAATGAACAACATTCCGAAATGTTGAAACATGTCTTTAACGGATCAAGGCTACAGAATGACAATGTTTTGAAATCTGGTTTGCAAGATTTCCAAAACATGTCACTTCCGCAGCTGGACTTCAAGCAGGCACTCACATTTAGATTGCGAGAGCGTGAATCCACGTTGTCGCCTTTGTCTTATCATGCAACCAAATAAAAACCTTTCTCTGATTCTCTTTCATCAAAAAAGTGCAAGAAAGTTGAAGCTAGAATCCAGATGTTATAATCTGAGGAAGATACAGAAAAATCCCATCTGAAATTTAACTCTCAGATGCTAGAATCCAGCAGAGTTCATTGACAGACAGATTGCAAGATGGATTTTGAACATCGAATTTGTCAACTCTCTGGTGATTACTTCCAATTACTGTGTAATTCCAAACCTTTTCAACTCAGAAGGCCACATTGGTAGGATTTTAATATATGGCAGATACACTTGTTTTTACATCCTCTGCTATCGTTGCAAATGCAGATCAAATTTATCGATATCATTGCTTTACCACGTACATATTAATCTCTAAAATCAAGTCAACAAATAATGTATTCATATCCATAAATAAGAAGCAAGACAAATGAATACACATCAACTGCACCTTCAGTGTTTCTATTTTCTTCATCATCATTCTCATCCTCATAATCCTGCAGTTTATTAACCATAAGGTTTTTCGACCATAGACCAGGACACAAAAATCGGCCTGATGAATCCCTCCGATTTCTTGAGCAAACATGGATCACCGGCAAAAAACATGTCAGTCCTTTCTAAACCACAAAAAGTCCTGGAAAGTTGTGATCTTACTTGCTTACTGCGAGCCGAGCTCTTCTTGGGTACAGAAATTACGCGGTAGTATCTAGCAACACAGACGAATTTCTTCACTACTGATGGGGAGCAGGCCTCCAATGGATTCAATGGATGCTTCAAAATTTCATCAATCTGCATCCGACTGAGTTGATATTTGAGACGGGGGACCAAAGCCATATGTCTCATATGGAAGCGAAGGACATACATAAAGGCCTGACAACAAGCATAAAACACGTCATGTGTTCTAGGGTTACTACATCCTCCATCTTGAGTTTTGCAATAATCAGAGCACCAATGTACCAGTTTTTCTAACATAGAGATCACCAGAGAATAACAGACAAAATATGCTCGAGATAAGTAACTAGCGAGATAGGCAACCGCGCTCATTCTCTGTTGTGGAACACAACTGCCTAAAAATATTTCTAGAAGACTGAATGCAAATTGTTCTCCACAATTTTCAGGATCCAAAGAGCACGCGTAGAAGATCACAAACTGCGCGAACCTGGATTCATTCGCATTCAGAACCGTTTTATGAAATGACTGGAGAAGGATATCGAAAACAAGCTGCAAACGGCCTCTTTTGTTGGAGAGTTTAAGATACTCAAATGTCAAAACCATCAAACTGTCTAACTTTTCAGCCATGGCACATCCACCAAAAACACCTTTGTCAAAAAAACCATCATCATGTACCACTCTTTCATTCAAAAATGTCCCCATATCCAAATCGATCAGTCTGTCTATTACTGCATTGAGCATTGAACTCCCAATAATTTCACCCATTGCTCCGCCCTCTAATCTTAGCATGTTCTCCACATATATCAGGATTACGGGTTGACTCTCGTATACGCTTGGCATTCTATGCCTAATCATCCTCTCCAGTCTCAAAGGAGAAAGAGGAAATAAATCGCATATGTCTTTCAATGCTGAATGAACACGATCGAGTACCTGATCCTTTTTCCCAACGCCACACGGCTCATTCAAAGACTCCAGGAGATAGATAGGCGGCACAAAATTACAAACCAACATGTCGAAACACGAATCTAAACAGTTTGGACTAGTAGATGAGGCCAAAGAGATAATTAGCTCCACTAAAGAGTCCATTACATAAGTGTCGTACTTCCACAAGCTCATTGCGAAAATAACTTCCAGAAGAGAGCAATGCTGAACAACATCAATCCAAGAAACTGCCTGCTTTAAAGTCTTCAAACATGTCACAAGTGTCGCCGCCTCGTCACAATTCAAGTGATGATCGCTATTATGCATCATTCCCACAAGTTCTTCATAATGAGCAGAATCATGACCCTGAAGAACACGTGTAAGTGCATTCTTGACTTCAATGACCAAAAGCAAATCAGTGAAGTCTTCATCATCCATGTTTTGCTTCCTCATTTCCTAAGCTCCCACAAATTCTAATTCCAACTCTTGCCTCAAAGACTAAGTGATCACCTTTTCCCTTTCCATATCAATTTGAAGATGTGAACTGGAAGCAGAAGAATTGAACTAGTTAATAAACTATATAAAACTCGGATTCAAAATTCAATCATCAATCCAGATTAGTTATGGCTTATAAATGATACTACTAATAATATGAACACAACGGGTCAATGTTTCAGAATAAAAACAAAATGCAGCTTTAAAGAATGGTTTGGTCTGATTCTTGTAGAGTTGAAATCCATAGCAAATACTACAAACGAAAAGCCTTGAAAAAATTTGCCTTCGTGCTAATATATATACTGAAAATTCTCCAAACATTATTCAGCACAGAATTAGGCATAAACGTGAATTGTTGTAAACTTCCAAAACACAATATATCTACAGTTCCCGAAAGTGATGTTTGAAGTAATTATAGGCAAAGAATTTTCCTGGAATTTTTTGATGATGAAAGGGAGAAATTAATATGATATTGAGATGCTTACCTGCAGGGGATGAAACAGAATTCATTGAAATGGATTTTTTGTTCTTGACTATCAACTCTTCTGCGCCGTGACGACGAAGATGATAACATTCAAAATGCTGCTTATAGACGATGGGAATTTTGGCAGATTTCCGTTAGAGGGAACCCATGCTGCAATATTTTAGCTGATTCCCTGCTCAGATATTCCTAATGCTAATCCCATGATCTGAACATTCAGCCGGAGCGTTTGTTAGAAAAAATCACAAAGACAAGAAATTTATGTGGAAGAATGTAAAGGGTCAAGCTGGAGCTAAGAGGATGATGAAGAATTAGCCTGATTTCTATTTTCCATTGAATGCCATATAATCGAGAAATGGGAACAGCTAAGAAATAGTACTAGTATTACTATTTACTAAGCTTGAATTGGGAACAGACATCAAAGGTGAGTGTTGAAGAGTAGATGATCCGAATTTAATTAGAATCGATCGGAACAGTTTTTTGGAGGGAAAATATGTTTTGATCTGTCCTCTTTTTCTTTTATTTTCCATTTTTTTCTTTTTGCTTAAATACTAGTATTACATTAATTCACCCTTCATTCTTGAAGGTTTTTTATTGAACTTCTTTTTTTTTTTTTTTTGGCTATAGCACAAACATTAGTTCTACCAAATGTTGAAGCCTAAAGGAACAGTTATTCATAGTATCCTAGCTTTGTAATGTTTATTATTTGGACTCTATGTTTGTTTTGATTCTTTTTTTTTGGTTGGCAAATTGTTCTCTAGATGTTCAGATTTAATTACTGTCCCAACTAATCAAATGGAATTGTTGACTTAGAGTAATAATTAAGTGAAATGTTGGGTTACATGCTTTGGTTCATTCTTCTCGATGATTGGCTTTACTCGTAAATAATTAATTAATGTCCAGTTCATTGTGTCGTTGACAGGCAAACATAATCATAATTAATCTTAAAACTCTAAGCTGCTCTCCCATTTTAATGAGCAATGGGAAGGCCAAAGACCCTCCTGGCTTTTCCAATTAGATGATAACTTCGCCATCGATTCGTTTTATTTGATTATCTATATTGTTGGAGAGCTTTTGGTTGTGCCGTTTTTAACTTGTTGGAGAGCTTTTGAGTAATGTATGGTTGATGACAAGCGCTCAAAAGCATCATGCAAACTCTTAGGAAATGACCTCTTCTAAAGTCCATTTCCAAAAAAGCCTCTTCTGAAGTAGAGAGTTCAGATAAGCCCGCTCTACGTTCGTGTTCTTAACTCTTTAATATTGTTGGAATTTCATATTCACGTGATGTAGTTCTTAACTCCACTTGTTGGATTTAAACAATATAACAAAGTAAATGGAGAATCTAATTAAATTGGTTATTTTTGGACAAAAGGAGTATATTCTTATTTTTCTTTTTTCTGGAAAATTTTAAATAGTACTTACTGATGATTACTGTAATTTTGTTTTTTTAATTTTTGTACCTATATACATGTACAGATGCTCATAAGTGCAGAGCTCGCACACTGTCATAGACTCGCTAAAATGGTAAACCAAGTGAAAGAGTTTATATGCTCACAGCATTGTCAGCACACCGGACTCAATTTATTTTCCCAAACTTCTATTGTGTCGTATGTAAACAAGAAATCTGGACCATTGAGCACTCAAAAAGACGATAAGCAGATATTTCTCAATCGATTTTAAACTACAGATTCGAAATTTACTAATCTATGAAACACACTTTTTCTTAAGATTTGAAAAGACCATTGAGCACTCAAAACACACTTTTTCCTTTGAATCTAACACATCAAATTACCACATTTCATAAGAAAAAAACATCAATCATCTTATGTTCGAATCATGGCTTAAGACTTTCACAACATACAAAATACACCACACAACATTACTAGTAAACTCGAGCACAAAAAAAAAAAAAAGTACCGAAGGATTACAAGATCTTCTACTCCAACATAAAAGGATGTTGATCAATTGTAAACTTAACACTCAGTTTCCCTTCTTCAGTCCATCATATTCAAGTTCCTTCAATTGAAGCTTTACTTTGATCTTCTTTTTAACTCTTTCAATATCCTCTAGCATTCTTTCCTTCTTCTTCAAAACCTTGCTAACTTCATCATTTGTATTCTTTGCACAAGATTGTCCTACCAAACTCAATTCCCCTTCTTCAATGCTCTTTACCTTTTTAGCTTTCACAACAATATTGTCACCCATACCAATTTCTTCACCCCAGATGTTTTTTGAGAGCTCAAATACCAAAGCCTCATGTGAATTAACTAAGAAACCAACACCCTGATCACCACCACCATTTTCATACATCTTCATGTTTTTAACAAATTTTTGCTTCAATCTCCTTATCTTTTCATAAATCTGAGTATTGCTAAAATTAGTACTAAGTTTCCCGTCTAAATACTCACGCAAGACATTAGTACGAATCGATGGCGCAGGTACATTTTTAAAAATTCCACAATCAATCTTACCTTGAAGCAGAGTAATCTCGTCTTTCTCCGTAAAAATCTTCGAACCAGTCAGCGTTGAACCACAGATCCTTTCTGGTTTCTGAGCTTTCTTTGGCCTTTTTGCAGTTGCAGCAGGATTTTCAATTTTAGAACTCCCCATATCGGAAATATCAAAAAAATCAACTTGGGCTGAATTTTCGGTTTCTTCGGGGACAACTTCATCTTCCATGTGGATTTCATCTAGGCCAGATTCAACCTCCTTTTTATCATCACCACCATGCTTTGAAGCCTTCCTCTTCTTTCCCATCTTTGGAAGAAATTGTAGCATAAGCCAAAAGAAGGAGAACATTGAACCCGGAAGAACCCAACTTCCCCACTTCTTTTTCCCCTTATTAGTTATTACCATCTTCCTTGGCTTTTGATCATTCTCTCCATCTCCGTTAATGATCTGACTAGGATTTTGATTATCAACCCTCGAGCTTTCACCATTTTTTGCAACAACAGATATTTCTGAATCATTTTCTTCTTCTCCCATAGGATTAAATCAGCTTTCTCTATTCTTGCAATTTAACGGAGTGTATGAAAATATATACAAGAGATTCATCTACAAATTAATAATTAATAATAATAATACTATTATAGGAAGAAAAGAAGTTGAAGAGGTAGTGAGAGACAGAAGGTTGAACGGTTTGATTTGGAGTAAATGATGCGAATTTATTCAAATGAGTAGTTCTCCGTTGGGGAATGAAATCGGAATTCGGAGCCACTCAACTATGTTTTGAGCGGCAAAACCCAACCCAGATGTTTTCTACACTTTTTTTTTATTGTATTTTTTTTATAAACTTAATTATGGATTTGGACAAAAGTTTAGCTTTGTACGTATTGGTGCTTCTTTTTCTGTTTTCCCCCATTTTACATATTTTAAGTAGTCATTTTCATTAGTGAGTGTTGTATTAAATTTTTTAATTACTGTTGGGATTAAAAAAAACAAATTAGAAAAGTAAGTTCGTCAGATTTTTATTTAAAAAAGAAAAACAAAACATTTAATTGCATGTTCTTGGATTCCGCGCAAATGAATTGTAGCAGTACCTAAAAATTAAAGCCCCTTCGTGTTGAGTGAAATGAAAAATGGATTATGCATGGTTTCAGGCTTTAGGAGAAGAGTATATGTGGGTAAAGAAAATTAAGAAAAAAAAGAAGCAATCTTTAACGCAAGGCAATTTGATTTCCCAACTAGAAGAACAATAAAACAAATTGAAATAAATTTATGTGAAATTTCGTGTAAACCGAGATAAATGAATTACTCAACCAACCAGAAACCAATTGTTAGCTGCTCATTTCCCTATATTCAAAACGATGCATTTTTTTTTAATTAATTGTTTCTTTTAAAACTGTTTTTGGGTACGAGATTTATATGATTATGATGATGATTTCCGATATTATTTGTTGAAATGCTTACTAGTTTCCCGTGCAAAAGAAGCCATAAGTATTGTTTATACATTGTCGTTCTTTTCATCATTTTATACCGTCTCTATAAGCTGCTAAAGTGCAGCAGGCCAAGATGGACTGAGTTAGCAAGTCGGGTAAAATCCCAACCACTTAACTAGTACATTATAAAAATTGGTTAGACACTCAGCCGGACCGGGCAATCAGATATCAATGCAAGTATGCCAAATTTCAGAAATTTTCCCTGTGCGCCAGCTGATTTCAAGGATTTCTACCCATTTCTAAAGGGGAAACTCAGCTCTGGTTTAACCAATGACCAAATTAGGCGCAAGATTCGAGGGCTCAAGGAGAAAAGGTTTGAAGAAGTTGAAGAAAGAGCTTGAAGTGTCTGCTTTAACATTTTCCTGTGGCAATGAATTTCAGATTTTTACTCTCTGCAAGAAAATTTGGAAGGGGGATTGAAACAGCAGCATTGCTAATGATGGGCACCCTGAAGAGGAAGCTGGTGAACAGGGTTTCAGTTCTAAGTATCCCCTGCTAATGGAATCTCTAGAAACGGAAAGTTTGTCATCTAGTGAAGGAATCTGTGAATGATTCTCATGTAAATCAGTCTGTAAATGTTGTAATTAGTTTCAGTTCACGTGCTGAATGTAAACATGTAGAAACTTGTTTGTTTACTGAAATGCCATTTGGTTAGGTTGGTGTACAGTTTAGGTAGTAAGGGTAGTTTAGTATTTTACCATACAGATCAGTTATTGTTGAATTGTATAAATAGTACTTGGACTCAGATTCTTTAATTGAAAAATACAGAATATTCAGGCACAATTAAATCGATTCCTCTTTTCTCTCTCGAGCAAACCCTAACGTCCATTGCTGCAGCTCAATTCTCGCTCATGGTATCAGAGCAGGAGTGATCCTGCCTAATCTGAGCCGAGATTTTGATATTTTCTTGCTTCCGCTACAAAACCTAATAATTAATTTCAAGGAAGGATGGGTGCTTTTCGAGTTGAGACAAGTCGTGACGGGCAGTCACGAGCAGAGGAGCTTCGGACTGGGAATGATCGTGCAAGACTCGAAAGGATTGATTAAGATACTGGTAGTTAAAGAGATATGAACTGAGATTTGGAGCTATTCATGGAAGAACAGCTACAAGTCCATGGAGCTGATAATCCGGGTATGATGTTGGTAAGTGCTCCACTGACTACTACCAATTACTTACTCTGGCGTATGTCAATGATTACAGCTTTGAATGCTAAGGCAAAATTGGGATTTATTGATTGAACGTGTGTAAAACCTCCTAAAAATACAGTTGCTTTTTTGAGATGGTCTAGGGTAAACAGCATGGTACGATCATGGATCTTGAATACTATTGATAGTAGTCAAGTAAGTAGTTTTATGTTTATTGAAAATGCAAAGCAACTGTTGGATACAATAGCACTTCGATATGGGAAGGTGAATGGATCTTTAGTTTATCAGCTTAGACGAGAGATGGCATTGGTTAATCAAGGGGAATTAAACATGATTGAGTATTATAATAAGCTGAATAAACTTTGGGACGAGTATAGTCAATGGAGGCCAGCAGTTGCCTGTACTTGTGATGGTAAGAGGCACTATGATCTGCGTAATGCTGAATACAAAGTCTATCAACTGCTTATGGGAATAAATGACTGTTATGACTCATTGAGGAATGAGATACTTAGGATGGATCCTTTGCCAGATGTTGATACAATTTTTGCGATGTTGCTGAAGGAAGAAACACAGAGAAATGTTGCTAGCCATTTGGTTGTAAAGTCTGATAATGTGGCGTTGATGGCAAAACCTCAAGGACCATCCGAAGCATGGAAACAGAACATGAATCAACAAGGACCATCTGTGATGTGGAAACAGAACATGAATTAAGATATGAATCTGAGAGAGCAGAGAATTCTTGCTAAGAAAGAAAAGATAAAATTACAGTGTACTCATTGCAACAGGCCGGGTCATCTTAAGGTAGACTGCTTTCTTCTCAATGGCTTTTCGGAATGGTGGGGAACACAAAAGGGTAGAGGACAGGGTGTCAAGCAGTCAGCACATATGGTGGATACACCACTGGATATTGAGGATACTAAATCAAGATGGAGCACCACTCCTGATGGAGTTAATGGACGGCAGATACAGAGTGTTGGACAAAACAGTGGACCAAATTTGTCTATTATATCCACTCAGAATCAAGCTCACAACTGGCCAATGCAGAATTCAGGGAACTAGTAGTCAGTCTTAGCAAACATGGTGCAGTCTAAGATAGGAAAGGTTCTCAAGGGCAAAGGAACAGTTTCAGAAGGAGGAAATGGACACACGGTGAATTATGCACATTTCAGCGAGTTTGCAAGTAGTTCTGTCATCTCTCATCTTACTTCGAATTTAATTGAGTTTGGTTGTACTGTTTGGGTGAGTGACACTGGTGCCACTGGACATATGTGCTGTTCTTTGTCCTTTTTTTTTTCCAGCTTCAAACCTGTTAATTCATATACACCCGTTTATCTCCCCGATGGTAGCATTAAGCAAGTCGAGCATGTAGGAGAAGTAGTGCTTTCCATTAACATTACGCTTACTTCTGTATTACATGTTCCTTCTTTTCCACATAATCTTCTCTCAGTCTGAAAACTAGCTCAAACCTCTGGTATTTTCTTCAAATTCTTTGACGACTTCTGCTTGTTGTAGGACCTAAGGACTAACAAGGTTCTCGGAGCCGGCATGGTTGCCAAAGAACTATACATTCTCACTTCATACTCATTTACTGAAGAAGCCATATTGAAATCACAGATTTTATATTCTAAGTTGATTCTTTCTGTCTCGAAAAAAGTAATTTCTCCAACTTGTAATTTCATTTCAAATAGAGAAAATAAGATTAGTGCCAATGTAAGTGTGGTTACTTGGTAGAATCGTTTAGGGCATCCTTCTCATATTGTAATGGATCATCTTTCAGTTTGTTCCAACTCTTCTACTAATAAGAATGCCATTTTCTGTGAAGTGTGTCCTTTATCTAAACAACATCGAAATTCTTTTCCCCTTAGTACAATCCAAACTACTCGCTGCTTCGAAATGTTGCATGTTGACTTATGGGGGCCGTATAAACAGCCTTCTTTGACACATGCCTCTTTCTTCCTTACTATAGTTGATGATTATAGTAGGTCAACTTGGACCTTTCTCCTCAAATATAAAAGCCAAGTCACAGATACTTTAGCTCATTTACACACCACAACAAAATGGTGTGGTGGAAAGGAAACACCAGCATCTTCTACAAGTTACTAGATCATTTCTTTTTCAATCTTCGTTACCTAAGAAATTTTGGGGCGAAGCAATTTTAGCTGCCACATATGTCATCAATGGACTTCTTTCTTCAGTTCTTTCTTGGAAATCCCCCTACCAAATCCTCTACAATAAAGTTCCAAATCTTGATCATTTGAGAATTTTCGGTTGTTTAGTATTTGCTATAAATAATGGTCCTCATCGAGACAAATTCGATCCTCGATCTTTCAACGGTGTATTTGTTGGCTATCCACCTGGCCAAAAAGGGTACAAAGTTTATTTTCCCTCTTTTCAAAAGGTGATTATTTCTCAAGACGCCGTTTTCTATGAACATCTTTTCCCTCATCAGTCTTCTAAGACAGATGAATTTTCGGATCTAGTCTTACCGCTTCCTTCTGATGACTCAAATGATGTATTCTTTACTCTTGATCCGCCTATCTCTGACCCCTCTTCTTCTATTCTACCTGTTGATGATCTTACTGTTTCTCCCCCTTTGTCTTCTCCTGACCCTTCTCTTTCTCCCTCACCTATCATTTCTAGTCCTTTATCAAACTCTTCACATGACCACCCTCTTTCACCACAATCATTTATCCCTCGCAGAAGTGAAAGACTTAAGAAATCCTCAGTTTGGTTGGAAGACTTTGTTCACCCAACCAGCAAGCATGCTTATTCTGTTTCTACTTCCTTATCAGCCCCTCCTTCTGCTTACTTTTTTACTATAGCACATATGACCTTTTTAGCCTATTTGTCTGACCTTCATGAACCCCGTACATACAACCAAGCCCGAACAAATGCGAAGTG